AAACGGAGCCATTAGTACACGAGAAATTCAATTATATTGTATGGGCCTATTATGTAAAATTATTTGATATACCTCCAGGTATTATAATGGTGAAATTTTCTTCAACAGTTTCCATGAAAGCTTGCACATAGAAAAATGCTGATAGATGCCTTAGCAATTCTGCACATCTTACATTAAAAGATATCAAGAAGTTCTTCTCTAACTAGCTTATGGCATTTGAAACTAGGCATAGAATAAATAAAAGTTCCATTAATTTATACTTGCTGAAAAAGTGGTTCCAAACTCAACTAATGGAAGATCAGTTCAGTAATTGCAAGCAATTTTTCTTCCATCCAAATCACAACATGTAAAACCAACAGATTCAGAGAACAAGGAATGAATGTTAGGAATACCATAAACATTTATTTACATCATTCACACAGAGCTTCAGTATACATCTAATTTACTAAGAACATACATTCCTCTGACACATGGTTAGATTTGGCTAGCTGCAAGGAGTTCAAACAAATAAATTACCACAGTTTACATAAAAAAAAATTGGCCCACAAAAGAATTTCAAAAAGATCACAAATTAATATAAGCAGAAAATACCCTGTTGAAAATAGATTAGAAATTTAGTGCGCTATTTCCATAGGCTTTAACCTTACAATATTTCGGTATATACAAAAGGTACAATAAAATGTTAGTATTTATTGCAACAAACTAAGGATATCATAATACATTTCATATTCTCAACTCTGATATTGGCTTCACGTTCCTTCCAAACAGCTTTCTTCTGTTGCTCCACAATTGAAATATTTTCCCACAAGGCACATACTTATCTATAAAGAAAAAGAAAAAAAATAAACAAAACCTGCTCACCCAAATTAACATGGTTACATATTTTTAAATTCAATATTCACAAAAGTAGGAACTCATATTATCCAATGTATTGTAATATATTGCTATAACATCTACCCCATAGAACATCGTATCCAGAGATTTGTTTGGCCCCAATCCTTGAAGACCTGGTTAGATTTATTTATTAAATTTATTAAATGTATATGCTGCCCATACTTGTCCTTTCTATTCCTCAGTTTGTTGGAGAGCTCTTTGTGCAACCATCTGGTTTCATCTGGAATCTCTTGTTTTTCTTTCTCTGTGGCATTGTTTTTGTTTGAGCCTTTATTATCTCATTTTCAGAGTTCTTCAAGCATCCTGAACTGTTTTTCCCTCTAGAATTCCCAGCCATAAAATCGTCCCTAATCTTTCTCTTAGTTTATTGAAGTCAACTCTCTTAAAGTTTAAAATACTAGTCTATGTTCAGTTACCTGTGCCAATATTATGGTAAATTCTAGAATGGCATGGTCACTCTCCACTCTTAACAATACATTCATAATTCATTTTTACAGAATTGTATTGCCAGTAATTATCAGAAATGCATTTTACTCCAATTCTTCTTTAATAGATTTCTCTCTCTCCAGACTCATACATGTAGAAAGCATTAGACTGGAATATTGTCTATAATTTTTCCCATACTATGCAATTATGGTAGAAATTTGTAAGCTAAGAGCCCAGTTGGCTAAAAAAATTGTAGGTTAAAAACCCACTCTATCTTAGATGAAATTGTAAGCAGTCTAATTTGATAGATCTCTTACATCCGTTTAATAAGGGAATCAATCACAGGTTAAATTTGCCATAAATTTTTCTAGAGTAGCATCCAGCGAACATCGCTTGCAACTCCTATCCTTCTTTCAGATATTCCATGTCAGTTCTGACTAAAAATAGTGTATCCGCAAAGCACATATTGGTTTTTAAAGAATACAGATTTTTGTTCAACTGATAAAAAATGGCTTGCCTTTTATAAAAAGTCTTAATATTTAAGCTTACAATATTGATTTTCTGTACAAGAAAGCTACTGAAACATGAATAAAAAAGCAGAATACCACGGGAGATATTATCTATATTTCAAAATCAGATTGCTGCAAGTGAAAACCAAAGCTACAATAAACAGACAGCCTCTGCTACCTGGGAGACTGCTGCGCTCAATATTTTCAAAATAAATTACTACCAAGAATAGAACACAAGACAGAAGGCTTATTTAATTAAACATAATTATCATTTCTGGAACAGAGTTTTAAGAAAACACAGTGTGCAACAGCAAAATAGCCCTCCCTTCCCAGCAAATACAAACAATACCAATAATCAAATGCCTAAAATATTAACATAAGTTTGTAGCTTATTTTATAAAGAGTAAATATTGCCATCTAATCAAAACGCTATGGATTTTGTATTCTCACTCATCTGGTTGTATATAATTGTTTGCTTCATTTACAATGAAGATATCACACATCTTCCTTCAAAAACTGCACAAAACTGCTCCTATAACCATAATCTCTAATCAAAGAGGAATATTTAAAGCTACATAGTAATATATGCTTGTATAGAATATCTATTTATAAATACATTCAGCTTGGTTTTCAAATGTGTTTTTATAATCCCTTCTGTCCTATTATTTTAACTCCAGAAATAAAGATACTAACCTTCGAGGATGATTGGCATCAAACAATGTGTTATCATCATCATCATCATCTTGCTCTAAAGGTGTCAGCTCTGTATTTTCTATGTTTGTGTCCAGAACACCATATTTCCGCGTCTTTCTGTTTCTTCGTCTAAGTCTAAAAATACAAATGTTATAGCGGGTTGATCAGGGACGAGGAAGATTAATATGAATAGAATTAGATTTGAACTTTAAGTGTACAAAATAAAAATGAAGCATTTGAACCATATAAATCTGGTATGTGTTCCATTTCTTCATTCAAGTATTACAGTATTACTTGTGTCTCTCATGTAAATTATATTATTCAAGAAAATAAGGTGTATTTGAATAACTTATAAATATTGTAGAATTAAAAGAAACACTTCAGCAGGTAAGGTGATATTGCCAGATAAACAGTGAGTCAATTGCAGTTTTACAGCATGAACTTCAGGTTAAAGCAATAGTTATACTCACTGAATGTTTCATTGCACTTTATTTGTCCAAAATCACTCTCAAAAGATGTTGTTTATACTGGCTTGTCGGTCTTTAATTACAATGGTGTCAGTGATTCTAAGAAAGGGCTGCTATGATATTGAACAAGAAAATGAAATCATATGCACAAGCTTACTGGTATATCTGCCTGTGTGTGTTTGTGCATGTGTGTATGTATGTATGTATGTATGTATGTATATATGTATGTGTGTATTAAAAAGTGCTCTTGGAGTCACTCTGGGTAGTGAGATGAGTGACATATAAATTTAGTAAAAATATTTCTGATACTGTTCAATATTTCAGAAAATAGTTATTCATATGTGGCTTTATAAATAAAATAAATTGAAGGAAAAAAACCTCTGCAATTCATGTGCACCATTTTGAAATTTGAAAGAACCAAACCTAGGACAGCACCATAAGCACTTACGAAACTTAAGAGTTGCATCTGATGAAGTGAACTATAGCCTCTAAAACAGTGGTTCTCAACCTTCCTAATGCCGCGACCCTTTAATACAGTTCATGTTGGTGACCCCCAACCATAAAATTATTCCAGGGTCATGTGATCACCTTTTGCAACCTTTGCAAGCAAAGTTAGTGGGGAAACCAGATTCACTGAACAACCATGTTACTAATTTAATCTCTCTCCCTCTTTCTCTCTCCCTCTCTCTCTCCCTTTCTTCACCTCTCTCCCTTTCTTTCTCCCTCTTTCTCCCCCTTTCTCTCTCCCCGTCTCCTTCTCTCTCCCTCTCTCCTTCTTTCTCTCTCTCCCTCTCTCCTTCTTTCTCTCTCCCTCTTTCTCCCTCTCCTCTTTCTCTCTCTCCCTCTCTCTATTTCTCTTTCCCTCTTTCTCTCCCTCTCTCTATTTCTCTCTCCCTCTCAAAGATCCTTAAAATCCTTAAAAGTTATGCTTGGGTGGAAGACTTTTTCTTTTACAGATGGGGCGGGTGGGCCTGACATTTGCGGGCAGGCAGGACGCCGCCTGCCGAGCCGCCGCCTCCCCATCGCCCTCCACGTCAGCCGACTCCCTTGCCAGACCTCCTAGCTGACAAGCGCAAGTTTGGGGGTCGCCAGCTGACGGGCACAGAGTTCGGTGCTGCGGCGGCCTCCCCTTCGCCTTCCTGACCGGCCAAAGCGTTGCCGGACGTTCCAGCTGACGGGTGCAGGTCCAGGGGTCACCAGCTGATGGGCGCAGGAGGTTGGCGCCGCGGCAGCCTCCCAGCTGCCTGCTTCTTAGGCTGGAGCAGTTGCCAGGGCTTGCATGGTCGCCGGCGGCGGGGAGCGAGTCAGCGGCCATTGGGGACCACGCCAGCAGTCCTGTGCCATTGAGGCTTGAAGCGCGGGACGCGGAGCTACGCAGTGCCATGGGAGGCAGCAGGACAGGGAGGAGGGGTTACCTGCATCCTGCCAGCTGAACTCTGGAAGCCTGCCTGAATGAAGAATTTTAGGGGGTGTTGAAAGGGAGACAGAATGGTGGCAAAGGAGACCAGCGGCCAGCGCTGTTCTACCTGGCAGCATGGGTGTCGGCTCCATAGGCATCCTGACCAACAGCTGAGCGGCTCCAACTTCTGGCCGCCGAACAGCTGAGTCCTCCAGGAGGCAACGTGAGGCCCTGAGGGGTATCGCAAGCTCGCGGGGTGGGTGGGAAGGAAAAGAAGATGGAAGAGAGTGAGGCTGCAACAGAGAGAGCGGTGTCTCGGTTCCTAAGACCATCAGAAATATGTGTTTTCCGATGGTCTTAGGCGACCCCTGTGAAGGGTTGTTTGACCCCCAAAGGGGTCGCGACCCACAGGTTGAGAACCGCTGCTCTAAAAGCTTATGCCTGGTCAGAAAAGGTGCTATCAGATTTCTGATTTTCTGGTAAATCTATGCTTCATGTAGATAAATATTGAAGGAGCACATTTGTCACGCTTATATGAAGAACATTTGAACTAAGGATTTTCCCCTTGTACAGTACTACACAGCTCATTATACAGAAATTACTGAAATGTAGCATACCAATGTAAAACAAATATTCACAAATTTCTCCTAAAAACACATCTGATAATTTTTCAAAAATGAAGCTTAAACTGTATTTAGGATAGAGACTTTACAAAAATATATCTGCTTATTTTATGTAAGATTTAATTCAATATCTATGGTGCATGTCTAGTGAAAATTGACTTTCCTACCTAATCTCTTGGACACCATGAAAAGGCTACCTTGAAAGATCAAGAAATTCAAAAGAGTCTCCAAAATCTGAGTTAGCATCAACATTTAACCGATCCCTTTAAAAGTCCACTCGGTATCTATGCAAGAGGAATGAGGAATCTTGCTCTTGATAAGTTTTATTAGGATTAATCTTTCCATTTATTTATCTACATGTTTACCTTCCAATTAACACCAAATGAAATTCACATGACTTACTGAACATTCTTTTATCCTTTGAGGGTTTTTACGCTTTCAAAAGCCTTGTTTTATGCAACTGGTAACCACTTGAAACTAGGCCTTTCAATAGCTCACCAGACTTAATAAATGTATACCAATCATTTTTTTTTATTCTTCCTTTAAATCTCTAAAAGCTATCTTTTATTGCTATACAGATACCTTCGTTGAGTTACCATTCGTTTACTGATCGTTTGACGTTACAACACTTAAAAAAATGACTTATGACCATTTTTCATTCAACTGTTGCAGCATCCCCATGGTCACATGATCAAAATTTGGATGCTTGGCAACAGGTATGCATTTATGACGGTTGCAGTGTCCCAGGGTCATGTGATCACCTTTTGTGACCTTCTGACAAGCAAAGTCAACAGATTAGTCAGATTCACTTAACCGTGTTACAAACTTAACTCAGTGATTTACTTAACTATGGCAAGAAAGGTTGTAAAATGAGCCAAAACTCATTTAACAACGGTCTTGTTTAGCAATGGAAATTTGGGGCTCAATTGTGGTCATAAGTTAAGAACTACAGGTATTTTGTTATGATCCTAGAACTATTCATTTCAAACCCTCTTTCCAAGATTGCGTAAGCATTTCAGACTTCATCTGTCAGTCATCATTTTAGCTACATCTCAGGTGGTATCAGTGCTTCTGTAAGCACTGCAGAGATGCTTGAGAGAAAGAGAGCTAAAGGAGTAGACAAAATACAATATCTTTTATACCCATAAGTATATGTTTGTATCACTATTTTTCTGTCTGCATTTATCACATATTGAAGTCCATGTAGTCCTAATCCATGCAGATTCATACTGCAGTCTCTGTATTACAGGACATATAAGATAGAAAGAGCCTGTCTCTTTTATAACTTGACAGGAATTCTAACTATGACATTGATTATTCTCCACATTATGACCTGCCAGTTTTACAGAATGTTAACTTGAAGCCACCTTCTGGTTACTTGAACTTTAAACTGTGTTTAAATCCTACCAATCTTTTTCAGTGTGAGAACAGGAGGCATTAGACATCCACTAGTCTATTAACTGTATTCAGGTGGCCTGTTTTGGATGGTGAAGGAATGCAAAACCCAAACGAGGCCTTCAAAACAATTATGCGAGCCACAAAATTAACCTTCCACATAAACAGCAAAGATACACCCAGCAAAAGCAGTACAAGATTAAAAAAAAAGAAGATTCTAAAATGACTCCTTAAGTTTACCCGAGCCAAAGAAATGTATGTGAAAAGACTAACAGGGCAGGAAGTGGAAGAAGGGCCGAAAGGAAGCAAACTACTGGTAGTCCTTGACTTACAACAGTTCATTTAGTGACCGTTCAAAGTTACAACAGCAATGAAAAAAAGTAACCATTTTTCACACTTATGACCATTGAAACATCCCCACGGTCACATGATTTACATTCAGATGCTAGGCAACTGGTTTATATGGCAGTTGCAGTGTCCCGGATCCTGTGATAATCTCTTGCGACCTTCTGACAAGGAAAGTCAATGGGGAAACCAGATTCATTTAACCACCATGCTGCTAATTTTAACAACTGCAGCGATTTGCTTAACAAATGTGGCAAGAAAAGTCGTCAAACGGGGCAGAATTCACTTAAGAAATTTTTCACTTGGCAACATAAACTCTGGGCTCAATTGTGGTCATAAGTCGAGGACTACCTGTACTAAGCTCTCTCTCCCCCCGCGCTCCGAAAAACTCAAGGCTTAAGTTTCGTCGAGGTCCAGGCACGCGCCCGCGTTCGGAGGGCAAAACCCGGGGAAGGGTGGGGCGCGTCTACAGCCCCTTCCCGGGACGGAGCGAGAAGGAAAGGCGGAGGCGCCCGCTCACCGCACGGTCCGGATGACGAAGTAAACGATGAGGGCAGCGCTGGCCAGGACCAGGACCGAAAGGGCGCGCTGGGTCATGGGCTGATAGACCTGCGTGCCGGGGGGCGCGGCGGCCATGCTGCCGTTCCCCTTTACGCCGCCGCCGCCGCTCCGCGCTCCTTCGACGACAGAAGAGCCGCTGCCGCCCGGCGTGTCCGCGGGCGCATTGTCGGGGTCCGCCCGCACGCCCGGCAGAGGGGGCGGCAACGTGGAAAGATGTTTCGCGGTGGGAGCCGGGGGAAGCGCCGCTCCTCCTCCGCACAGCGCGAACGCCGAAAGCAGCACCAGCAAAAGCAACAGTGGCGGCGGCGGCCAAAGCCGCCGCATGGCACCCAATCTAAGCCTGGCTTGGCGGAGCGCGGCCTAAGCCCCGCCGGATTCTCCACGGAAGGAAGACCAGAAGGCGGAAGTACTCATCTTTCCGGTGACTGAAAACGCTGCCATGGACGCCGAGCGACGCTACGAAGCTTCGGCTCCGCCCCCCCCCGGTTCCTGCCACGTGACCGGGCGCCTGCGCAATAGTTGTCGCCGAGGCGGTTGCCCTGAGATTGGATTTAATAGGAAGGCGGAGAAAGAGCGGAGAGAAAGAGAGGCCAGATAGGAACCAGATTTGTATTTCCTTCCCTAGGAATAACTTGTCCCAACATCTCTATTATTTCACTCCTTCCTTTCTTCCTTCCCCGCAATTGCAGATATTTGGATGGCTTGCTTTTCGAATAAATGCGAACACTCACTAATATATGTACGACCCCGTTCGTATTTAATAGAGCTCCTCAACATTTTCTGGGCCTCCAATAATAAAGGGTAATGAGCAATTGGTAGTGGTCAGTGTTTCTCAACCTTGACAATTTTAAGACATGTGGAATTCTGGGAGTTGAAGTCCACATGCCTTAAAATTGTCAAGGTTGAGAAACACTGGGTTAAATAATAAACCACCCTGAACGAATTTTTACCTATCAGCCGTGGCGTCTATTCTACCTGTCCTCCAGTTGAGGAAGATATTTTTAAAACGAGGAATATCAAAAGTTGTCTTAGACCAGATAAGTAAAAGCATGAAGCTGTACTATGTAGATTGCCTGGTTTCGACTTGATATTTTCTGTGAATTCAGCTATTCTATTCTGTAAATCAAGGTTAATGGTGTAGTTAGCGTCTACTGTGTGAATTCACTAAACCAGTTATTGTAATGTGTATGCCACCCAACTCAGTGATTCTGGGTGGCTTGCAATAATCAAAAGAAATTACAATAAAATATAAAAAAAGATGGCAGCAAAATGAAGTGTAGGGTCTCTAAGGCAATGATAATAGCCAGTAGGTGACTCCAGTAAAAGTTTCCACCTAGCCCAGGGGTAGGCAATCTAGGCTCTTTTATGACTCGTGGACTTCAACTCCCAGAATTCCTGAGTCAGCATAGGAGTTGAAGTCCACGAGTCATAAAAGAGCCAAGGTTGCCTACCCCTGACCTAGCCCAATATTGTCTACTTGGTTGTTCCTAGTCTGATATTATCATATATATTGCAGTACAATTGTGTTTTCAAGATAACAGAATAACAGAGTTGGAAGGGGCCTTGGAGTTCTTCCAGTCAAACCTTCTGCTCAAGTAGACCCTATACATTACAGATGGAAACAAACCAAAGAGAGAAGCAACCTAGAACTAAGGAGAAATTTCCTGACAGAACAATAAATCAGTGGAACAACCTGCCTCCAGAAGCTGTGAATGCTCCAACACTGGACGTTTTTAAGAAGAGATTAGACAGCCATTTGTCTGAAATGGTATAGGGTTTCCTGCCTGAGCAGGGGGTTGGACTAGATGACCTCCAAGGTCACTTCCAACTTTTATTATTATTAATTAGTTTCCATCCATTCCTTCTTGTCTTGCCTTCTGGTGCTTGGAAAATAGGTTGACCCCCTCTTCTTTGTGGTAGCCCCTTAAATATTGTAACATTGCTATCATGTCAGCCCTAGTCCTTCTTTTCACTAGACTAGCAATTCTGCAACCGTTCTTAATATATTTTTACCACCAGCCTCCTAATCATCTTTGTTGCTATTTTCTGCATTCTTTCCACAGTCTCAGTATCCTTTTTATAATATGTTCACCAAAACCGTATGCAGTATTCTAAATGTGGTCTTATTAAGGCTTAATAATGTGGTATAAATATTTCACCTTCACCTGATCTTGATTCTATCCCTCTGTTAATGCAGCCTAGGATTGCTTTGGCTTTTTTGGCTGCTGCCACACACTGCTGGCTCATACCGGTATTTAAGTGATTGTCCACTAGGATTCCAAGATCCCTCTCACAGATACTGCTATTGAATCAGGTTTCAGCTAATCTGTACCTATACATTTGTTTTTTCTTGCCTAAGTATAAAACCTTTCTTTGCTCTACATTTAATTTCATTTTGTTAGATAGGGTCCATTGTTCAAGTCCAAAGCTCCATCTGGATCTTGAGCCTATTTTCTGGGGTATTGGATATTCTTGCCAGTTTAGTGTCATCTGCAAATTTGAATAGTTCCTTTCTATTCCCTCATCTAAATTGTTTATGAAGATGTTGAAAAGTACTGGCCTTAAAACGGAACATTGGGGTACCCACTGCTTACTTTCCTCGATGTAGTTCCATTAAGGACTACACATTGAATGCAGAATAATAATAATAATAATAATAATAATAATAATAATAATAATAATAATAATAATAATAATAATAATAATAATATCAAACATCCACATCTGCCTATCCCAGGTCCTTGGGAAGGACTCGATAGGTAGACAAAATGCCAAATCCAGTCTGAACATCTGGCTGACTGTGTGATGATCAATAATAATAATAATAATAATAATAATAATAATAATAATAATAATAATAATAATAATAATAATAATAATAATAATAATAATAAAGTTTGTCAGCCAGTTAAGAATCCATCTGGTGGTGATGCTGTCTCGCATACATTTTTCAAGCTTACCAAGAAGTAGATTGTGGTCTACTTTGTCAAATGCCTTACTGAAATCCAAATATACTATGTCCATAACATTTCCCTGGTCCACTAATTTAGCCGCTTTGTCAAAGAATGAAATAAGATTTGTTTGGCATGATCTTGTTTTTTGACAAACCAGTGCTGGATTCTGGTTATAATTTTGCTTGCTTCTAGGTGTTCGTAAATCTGTTGCTTGATGATCTTTTCCAAGATCTTCCCAAGTATTGATGTCAGGCTGATTGGTCTGTAGTTTCCTGGATCTTTTTTTCCCCCTTTTTTGAAAATGGGAACCACATCAGCTCTTTTCCAGACCGCTGGTAGGTCCCCTGTGCACCAGGATCTTTGGTTCGGTGGTTCTGAGATCACATCTGCCAGCTCCTTCAGAACTCTGGGAATGTAATCCATCAGATCCCAGTGATTTGAACTTGACTAGAGCAGACAAGTATTCTCTTACCTTTTCAGATGATTGAACCAGTCTAAGTTTCTATGAGCATAAACTGTTGTGTTTTGGCTAAGATGATTAGCAATCATCTTATTATCCATTTCATTGGCTGGACTTTATAATACCCTTGTTAGTATTTTGTTAACGCTGCAAGGACTGAGTCCAAACAAGCTTAGGCATTCTTGATTCATCAGTCTTTAGCTTTGTTCACTTGCACTTCATGAAGCTGAAGCTGGCCTACCAATGTACAGTTATACCAGCCAGCAGTGTCTTATGCTAATGAAAGTATACTGCCTACAGCTACATTTGCTGCTGATCATCAGCCCTGTCAAAATATATTGAAGTTTTAATCTGTCATTTTTATTATTTTTGATTTATATTGCTCGCCAACTTATTTTTCAATACATCTATTTAAAAGTGGGGCAAGTAGGATTCTGCAGTGTTTTTATTCCATTTGTTTAGTTTGAAAGTTCTGGCTGAGCTAGAACAAATCTGCATTACTCCTCTAACTTATAACAATCTTTTTTTTTACTGTAATATGGTAAGATGTAGAATTTTTAGTGCTCTACAGATATGCAGAATTGGATTATAAATAATTGACAATTCTTGCTTCTAATATTTGTATTATATTACCTGTCATCAATAATAATGTTTTATTATTGGAGTCTAGTGCACTATAAATTTGATCCTAAAAATAATCAGTGGAACAACCTGCCTCCAGAAACTGTGAATGCTCCAAAACTTCCAGTGTTGGAGCATTCACCGCTTCTGGAGGCAGGTTGTTCCACTGGTTAATTGTTCTAACTTTCAGAAAGTTTCTCCTTAGTTCTAGGTTGCTTCTCTCCTTGATTAGTTTCCATCCGTTGCTTCTTGTCCTGCCTTCAGGCGCTTTGGAGAATAGCTTGACTCCCTCTTCTTTGTGGCAGCTCCTGAAATATTGGAATACTGCTATCATGTCCCCCCCCCTTATCCTTCTCTTCATTAAACTAGACATACCCAATTCCAGCAACCATTCCTTATATGTTTTAGCCTCCAGACGTCTAATAATCTTTGTTGCTCTTCTCTGTACTCTTTCTAGGGTTTCAACATCTTTTTTACATCGTGGTGACAAAAACTGGATGCAGTATTCCAAGTGTGGCCTTACCAAGGCATTGTAAAGTGGTATTAATACTTCACGTGTACTTGATTCTATCACTCTGTTAATGCAGCCTAACACTGTGTTGGCTTTTTGGGCAGCTGCAGCACACTACTTGCTCATATCTAAGTGATTGTCCATTAGGACTCTGAGATCCCTGTCACAGTTGCTACTATTGAGCAAGGTACCACCTACTATACCTGTACATTTGGTTTTTCTTGCCTAAATGTAAAACTTTACTTTTTTCACCGTTGAATTTTATTTTGTTAGATAGTGCCCAGTGTTCCAGTTTGTTCAGATCCTCCTGTATCTTAAGCCTGTCTTCTGGAGTGTTGGCTATTCCTGCCAGCTTCGTGTCGTCTGCAAATTTGATGAATTCCCCATCTATCCCCTCGTCCAAATCGTTGATGAAGATGTTGAAGAGCACTGGGCCTAAAATAGAGCCCTGGGGCACCCCACTGCATAGTTCCCTCCATGTAGATGCAGTTCCATTGAGGACCACACACTGACTACGGCCGGTCAGCCAGCTACGAATCCATCTGGTGGTGATGCTGTCTAACCCACATTTTTCTATCTTATCAAGTAGTAGGTTGTGATCTACCTATTCTAATCCGATAGGATTGGCTGATGTTAGATAGAAAAAGGAAAATGCATCTTCTTTTCTTCTCCCCCAAATAGTTGTTGCAGGTGAATGATGAAAGTTCATACATTATGGTTCAGTTTACCAAATTTGCTCAGGCACAAGCTTTTTTTAAAATTGGTTAATTTAAAAATT